TTTAAAAATAATATGAAATAAATGAAATGTACAAATAATTTTAAAAAATGTTTAAAGTCCCCCGCGAGCACGCGTGTCGTCACGTAAACACGCGTCGGGTGCGTCTATGTACAAAACGACAATTGCGCTACACATGTCGGGTATTGCCGCACACACCAGAGTGAGAACAATAATTCTAGGTCCAATATTTATGCGTGTCTCTGAATGGATGACCTGTAGTGGCTTTTAAAGCGTTGTGCATGGACTTTTTGGGGTACTGAATTCAATCGCATTTTCACAGATGCACACGTTCAATTTTTAACCTGAGCATGTTGGGTATCTATTTACTCGTCGTAGCCTCATCTTTTATATTTTAAAAAATGGTTTTATATAGTGTTTTGGAGCACTAAATTTAACATAAGTGCATTTTTCACGAAATTTTTGGGTTTGATAATAAGTTGTGCTAATGTCGTGCAACGTACAAATTTCCTACTGCCACCATTTTATTCTATAGGGTCTAGGCTTTCAGAAAATATATCATATTTGGGGGTTTTAAGTAATTTTCAGTCCTAAAATGTGGATTATAACACGTAAACAAAAAATGAAAAAAAAAAGACCTTTGTCCTTAAGGGAGCAGACAAAATCTGGAGCAATTGCCCAGAGCAACCAATCATCTTCTCTCTTGAGTTTGTTCAGTTAAGATTTGAAAATGAAAGATTGGTTGCCATGCACAGCTGCTCCAGATTTTGTCTGTTCCAGTTTTGATAAATTCCCCTCAATTTGTGGTTATTCCTCTTAGATTTATACCTTAGAGTAAGAATTGGGGTGGTTTTTGGAGGTGCATATATCGCTATACATTAAAATAAAGTAATGATGTGACCATTTTTGTAATCACAGCTTTTTATATATGGTTTTCTTTTCTTTTTTTCTTTCAATATTCAATTTTTATTGAAGTTTAGGATTTGAAACATACATACATGGTAAAACACCGACAGGGCAGTCAACCAGCCAAACAAATACATTTGAAGTAGCATTTTTACATCTTTAAGTAGTCGCAAACCTGCACTGACTGGACCCAGGTGTTCAGAAACAAAGAGGGGTACCAGGAAGGGCCTGGTTAGAAAAAAAAAGGGGGGGCAAGGAGAAGGGCAGATAAGAGCAGAGCAGGGGGAGGTAGGAGGGGGTGTAGGGAGCACGCTAAAACATTTAGGTACCATGGCATACGTGCAACATAAAACCTTATATTATATTGGGGTCTGAGTGGGCATTATGCATCAGAAATACCAAAGGAGCAGATGGTCAGCACATCAAACATAGATATTGGGGAGTGAGTTTGAAAGCAGTTCATGGAGACCGTATGGTTTCGAAAAGAGTCTTGCGGTCTTGTCAGGTGAGTGTGAGCTCCTCCATTTAAGCATAGATAGTCAACTTTGAGCAGCCATTCTTTCAATGAAGGAATGGTAGGGGAGTTCCAGTGTTTCAGAATGAGGAACTTTGCGCCATTCTGTACATGCGGTAGCAGAGATTTCTTGTAGGTTTTAGGTGATAATAGGCAAAGCCATGGGTCATGTGGGACGGGCCGACCGGTGATGAAGGTCATAAGTTGGATGATTTGGTGCCAAAAATGCGTGCCTCTGAAACCGCATCCCTTCCAGCATTCTGAAGAGTGAGAGGGTTGAATAGAGTGCAAGCGCTTAGGCGTATAGTACCATTGTGCAAGCAATTTGAAGGAAGATTCCAAAACTTGAGAGCTGATGGAGGATGAAGAATTGAGCTGCAAGACATGCTGTTTCTGCGGATCATTCAGGGTAGCGCCAAGTTCAGCTTCCCAGTGTGAGAGATATCCTGTGAAGTCCTGGAGGAGAATAGGATTTTATAAATTTGCGAGATACCATGGGTTGGAGGGGAGGCTTGAGACAACAAACCCAATGTGACGCGGGAAGAGGCGCGACATCCGATTGAGCACTGTATGAAGGTCCTGTACTACAGAGACGCCCACTCTAGATATATATAACAGATACGAAATTGCCACTATCACAGCTAGTGGAGTGGAGATGAAGGGACTGCTGTCCTCAGAAACCAACTGGGAGATTGCACACCTTGTGAAGGGCTTTGAATAAATAGCGAAGACCCAGACTCCCCTCCCCCTTATCCAATACTGTTGCTGATCAGTGTCACTTTTTTTGTATATTAATCGCCTCCCGGCTGGTCGTTGTAAAGAAAGAGGACCGGCTGGGAGCTTCCTGGATCTGAGCGGGTATATTTAAACGTCCTGTCAGCCGCGCGCGCTGCACACACGTGCGCGTACGGGAAACTGACAACATTTAAAAACTGGCAGCAATGCCTGTTTACATACAAGCTATCCGCCGGCTATAGAGCCAGCGGATCGCTTTATAACGTGCTGTTCTGTGCGCAGATCTCTGCGCCATCAGCTTCTTTGGGGGTCCCTAGGTGACATTAGAGGTCTTGATGTCTCCATAAAGAGGACCTGTCACATCTTCTTTGCTATCACATAGGGGGTTTCTTAGCCCCCTATGTGATAACAATAAAGTTAAGTGAAATTTTTTTTTTCTAAAGTCCCCACCCATACATACACACATGCAAACATGCGTCGGGTGCGCATACGTGCGAAACGACGATTGCGCCCATTACGCCGCACATGTCACATATTGCCGCGAACGTCGCAGTGATAACATTAAACTGATGAGCGGTAAAAGCTTTTAAAGCATCGCCTATGGTCAATTTTGGGCATGGTAGTTTTTTTGCGATATCGCAGGTGTGCGCAAATTTAAAGCTTGACATATTTGGTGTCTATTTACCCGACGTGACCCCGTCTTTTATATTTTACCAAAAAATTGGGTAATAATAATTGTATTATAACAATGTTAAAAAAATCCTTTTTTTTCAAAATTTTCAGTAATTTTTCCTTAATATAGTAAAAAATAAAAACCCCAGTGGTAGAGTCTCAGATGTACTGTGCACTGTGTATGGGGGGCTATGCAGGGTCACTCTCAGGTCACTCTCACTCTCTAAGCCCTGTGTCCAGCGCGTCACTAAGTGTCACGCCCGGTGGGTTTTCTATAAGCTGAGGTGGATCGCAGCTGCAGAAGAGAAGCTTATCTCGTATGAATCTAAAACGGCACTCAGTCACGAACCCCAGGCGTCACTCTCAATCAGAGGCGGAGAGTTAGGGGTTCTTGCATCATCAGCCGTATAAACAAAAAGAAGGCAAACACAAACGAGTACTCAGTGAGGAGGAGTTATTGGTTCATAACCCCTCATGGATCTATAGGTCCCTTAGGGAAGGGATGTAGTACGCTTAGTACAGACAATTGGATTAGGCAGTATATGCCAGAAAGACTCCAGAGTACTTGCGCTTTATGCAGAAGATGTGAGCCAAGACATAGATCCCAGGTAGAGGTGTAGGGGAACCCTCCAGTCGGTCCTGTTGGTTGGAAGGCCGGTCTACAGTGTAGTTCCAGGGTGTTTTGGGCATGAGAAACCCAATAGTGAACACCCTGTCTCATTCGGAGTGAGTTTAAATAGGCCGCGGCCGTGACGTCACGCGGCCGCGGCGCACTTCCGCGTTCCAGCGTGGAACGCACAGCACCTCCCCTAATGGGGGAGGAAACCCTCGGCGGTGTCTCCCTCTGTTTCGTTCCACCCTGGAACGCAAACGGGACGCGGCCCGGAGCGGAGGGATGTTACACTAAGCCCCGAGTCCATCGGGTCACTAAGCCCAGAGTCCATCGGGTCACTAAGCCCAGAGTCCAGCGCGTCACTAAGCCCAGAATCCATCGGGTCACTAAGCCCAGAGTCCAGCGCGTCACTAAGCCCAGAGTCCAGCACGTCACTAAGCCCTGAGCCAAATTCATATACTGTTCATCATTGCTGTATACAAGGGATTTTATGTCCCCCTACAGCTGGTGCCATTGTGCATTAGAGTGTAAGCTCCTCTGTACAGAGACTGATGTGACTGGCTCAGTGTTTTCTGTACAGCACTGCAGTATATGTCAGCGCTATATACATGTATAATAATAGTGTGTGACTGTGGGGGGGACATTAGAGACCTGCCCTGACCACTGTTCTCACTGTTCTCACTACACAGATTGATTATTCCACACACATTATTTGTGTATTACTCACCTCCTCTAGATACTCAAAGAATCTCTGACTTGGTGCGGACACTGTCCTTCCTTCTGGAGAATGGCTACTTTTGTTCTCCATGGTCCCTGTGTGTTGTAAAGCAGATACCGCTTCAAGCTCACTTTCATGATAGACTACAATCTCAATACAAATTACGGTAGTAAACTAAACATGAGATTGTAGTCAATCATGAGAGTGAGTGGTGGCTACTTTACAACACACACAGGGATCATGGGGAACAAAAGTAGCCATGCTCCAGAAGGAAGGACAGTGTCAACACCAACTTTGAGATAATTTGAGGATCTACAGGCCAGTTTTACACAAATAAGGTATAGTATTGTTAATAGTTAAGGTACTTAAATGCATTTTTAAAATGGTACTTCTGAGTTTAATGTCACTTTCAACAACGTGCAGTGTTAAGGTGTCTGATATTTTACTTCAGATTTGCAGCTACTTGATTGCAAAAGTCTACACTTGAACTATTTGTCTATATTATAAAATCATAGATGGCTGAAATGTAAAGGTAATTCTTAATAACATTGAATTATTATATACACTATTTTATAGAAAATGTTTAACAAAGGTAGTTTTCCTTTAAGGCAATAAATTAGCAATGCTTTTTCCATGAAGTACCACAGAAGTAGAACATTTAAAATGTCAGAATTCTTGTTTAATTCTGTCAGCTGGAGCTAGATGTTCTTGACAATACTGTTATTAATTAGTAATTTTACACTTGGCAACTGTCTTCTTCCATAACGGCACACTGAGATAGCTGAAGATGCCATTAACAAGCTACGATTAATCCATGCATAATGGAAAATTATTTTGAAGTGCATATGAGCTGGCTAAGTAATATTACTTGTGGCCTGTTACAGGTACTTCCACCGACCTGCAGATGGCTCAGAAGTTATGTTTGATCCAGTCTCCATAATGAATGTGGACATTCTAAATTACTGCCAAAAGGAAGCTTGGTGTAAATTGGCATTCTACCTGCTGTCCTTCTTTTACTACCTATACAGGTAAGTTATATAATATCTCATTGAAGGATTTTTATGGCAAAGAGATATTACACTAAGTAATCAAACCTAATCACTTAAATATATTTTAATATATTAACAATGACCTTCTCTTATTTGCTTCCTTTTAGTTTGTTAATATAAAAGATATACTGCTTGATAAGTACAAAAAAAACCCAAAAACCTCTTGATCCTGTCAAACTCCAGTGCTGTTCTGTGACCTATGCACATTGCAAGATGTATCTCAGGAGGTCTTAGCAAACCTGCACAGGCTTACTCTGTGAACTACAAAGCACCTAGTCCCTATGTTGTGGAGATAAAAAGAAGGGGAGGTGTTCTCTAATCCTAATACACTTTTTGTCCTACAGTGACAATGCTCACCCTCGATAGATTACAGTACAGTGACTGTTGTCACCCTAGTACAGGAAGTGTGTTACTGACATGCTTATCAGATGCAAATAAATGTAACTCCAAATGCAGCCACTACATTTAAAGGAGTGGTAAGCTGCCATACATTCAATTTTTGTTCTTGGGTTCATATACACGTTAATGGTAGCCTGTAACTTACAGTATAATTACCTATGTCAGATGTCCAAACTCTCCCGGACGTTTCGGGAGTCTCCCGCTATTAGACAGCGGCTCCCGGCCACCCGGGAGAGAAACATTTTCTCCCGGAAAGGTTTACTCTGCTCCATCTAGCAGAGTAAACCTTTCCCTGCTGTCTGTTATTTTTTTTTTTTATTCCTTTTTTACCGGAGCCGCCAGCAGAGTAAAAAAACCCCAAAACAAACAAACAAACAAAAAAACACAGCATAGAAATGAATAGCTAGATTGCTATTGGCTATTTGAATTTGCAATAGCCAATAGCAAACTAGCTATTGCACCTGCCCACTGCTGCTGTCAATCAGCAGAGATGAACCTGAAGTTCTCCATCAGGTCCTCCTCTGCTGATTGACAGCAGCAGATAGATAGACCTTATACTGACAACTATACTATAATATTTTTAATATTAGCTACAGGAATGAGAAGTATGTTGGTTTGAACGCTAAATTTCAAAAAGGCAAACTTCAATAAGCTATGTCATCTAGTGTATGACACTAAATGGGACAAGAACGAAACCTGCATGGCTATATAAACCGGTAAAACAACATATCAATGAGAGGAAGCTGGCATTAAAAAAAATATAAGATGGAGGGGACTGCATTGCCATTCCAGATCTACAAGGAATGCAAAAGTGCAATCCGGGCAGCTAAAATAGATTACCAAAAAACATATTGCCACAGTCAGTAAGAAGAACCCCAAAAAATTATTCCAATATACTGTATAAACAGTAAATAGATAACAAAGGAGCATGTAGGCCCAATAATAGAGGAGAACGGAAGATTAATCATAAATGACATGGAGAAGGTTGAGGTATTAAATTCATTTTTCTCCTCAGTATGCAATTGAGAAAAATGGAGGTTTAATGTAAGTATGTGAGTAGTTTAGTGCATAATATACTGCAGTGGTTGACGGTAGCGGGTTTCAACAAAGACTAGAAAAACGTAATGTGAGTAAATCATTAGTACCAGAAAACCTGCACCCAGGGGTACTTAAAGAGCTCAGCCAGCTTATAGAGAGAACATTATTCATAATTTTCAAGGACTCCATAATGACTGGTAGGGTACCAAGTGATTGGCATAAGGCAGGGGTGCCCACAATTTTTTGTGTTAAGATCTACTTTGCAAATGACCAGCTCAATGAGATCTACCAACAAATGGCATTGCAACGCACCTCGCGCACCAGAACACAGGGTAGGTGTGATTGTGCAGTACAGTGCGTTCATCCCTAAGGAGTGTGCGATCAACACACAGTACTAGTGTGAACAGGACCAAAAGCTGGCCATACATTGCTCTATTTTTTTTGTTTAACCTGCGGGCTGAACGGAAAAAAAGAGCAGATTCCTCCATCAATGCTATGAGCACTTTGATCGAGGAATTCCCACTGTGTACTTTATGTTCTGACAGCGACCGCCGGCCGCTGTCAGAATACCCACAGAGAGCCGGCTACTCATTGGCTACCAGCTCTGTTCGTAGAAAATGTTTCCCAATGGCTCCTGATCGAGGGATGTTGGAAGATGCTGGTGCTGACAGCGGCACCCACTGTGCGAATTTCAACTGGTTCATCAAAAACCAGCTGAAATTCGCACAGTGCATGGCCACCTAAAGTCAAACGCACACTTACCAGACAGGTAAACTATGAGACTATTACCTGTAATAGCCAAACTGTGTCAGCATTGCTGCCTCTTTTTTTTATCCTTTCTTTCAGACCTCGACAGGTCCTCTTAGCTGCTGCAGCTCCCTCCCTCCCGAAGACTTAACTCATGATGCTGGCAGAGCTGCAAAGATCAGCCAAGTCCTGCATTCTGGCTCAGCAAAACTCCTACCCCCTCCCATGACATAAAAAATATACAGAGCTGCCTCCTCCTTCATGATGCTGCTTATCCTAGCCCGGCCAGTCTCCTCCTGCTGAGCAGACTTGCAAAAGCGATCTACCAGCATTAGCTTTGCGTTCGACTGGTAGATCGGGATTGACCTATTGGGCACACCTGGCCTAAGGCGACGGTAGTACCAATATTCAAAAAAGGTTCAAAAGGCCAACCCGGGAACTACAGACCAGTCAGTCTAACATCAATAGTATGCAAACTGTTTGAGGGTATGATAAAGGACTATTTAGTGGATTTGTTTGTGACAAAGGTATAATAAGTGATAATCAGCATGGATTTCTGAAGGACCGCTCTTGCCAGACCAACCTACTAACATTCTATGAGGAGCTAAGTATACACCTGGATAGAGGAAAGCCAGTGGACGTAGTATACCTGGATTTTGCAAAAGCCTTTGACACGGTACCACATAAACACTTAATACACAAGCTGCAATCTATGGGCATAGATAAAATGGTGTGTACATCGATAGAGAACTGGCTACACGAACGTGTCCAGAAGGTATCTGTAAATGGTTCTTTTTTGAATTGGTCTAAAGTCGAGAGTGGTGTGCCCCAGGGTTCTGTGCTAGGCCCCATACTGTTTAACCTGTTTATTAATTATATTGGGGAAGCTGTTAATAGTCACGTTTCTGTGTTTGCAGATGATACTAAAATTGGGAGGGTAACAGATACACGCTTAGATAAAATAGGGGAGTGGGCAACTACATGGCAGATGAAAATGTAAAATAATGCATTTTGGGGTGAAAAACAGGCATGCAGAATACACATTATTGGGAACTCCAATAGGGAAGTCAGAAGTTGAAAAAGATTTCGGGGTCATAGTTGACTGCAGACTAAACAATAGCATGCAATGTTAGGCTGCAGCAAACAAAGCTAGCAGAGTACTGCCAGGGTATGTACTGTAGAGACAAAGCAATAATGTTGCCACTTTATGGATCACTGATTTGGCCTCATCTTGAGTATGCGGTTGAATTTTGGTCACCGATCCACAGAAAGGATGTCCTGGAGAGGGTACTGAGAAGGGCAACAAAACTAATTAAGGGGCTGTAGGACCAAAGCAATGAAACCGGGTTGCTAAATTTTAATTTGTTCACTCTAAAAGTGAGACGATTAAGAGCGGGCAAGATTTTGATGTACAAATTGTTTAATGGTGATACTAATATCAGTAATCGACTATTTACTGTAAACTCACTAAAGAAGACTAGAGGCCGCTACCTAAAATTGGAGGAAAAAAAATTGTAACCACAAGGGGCGTAGGGGTTCCTTTTCAGTTAGAGCGGTAAAATTGTGGAACTTTTTTCCACAAACAGTGGTATCAGCAGAGAGTATTGAATTATTCACAAATCATTTAGATACCTTCCTCAGAGACCAGAACATACAGGGGCACAGGTACTCTTAATGACTGGAACACACACAGACTCTTATACACACAGTAGTAGTTTGGGGCATATAGCCCAATGGTGAACGCTAAGTGACCACTCCTGAAGCCGACAAACATAAAAAAGGACAGTCTTTATTCATCTTCAACATAAACGAAACAGAACAATTCATGCACTTCTTATAATAATCCGCTTTTCCTCAGCATATACAGTGCTCAGTAGCTTTGCTCCGCTCCAAGTGTCTGAGCACACCTCTTCGTGATACTCACACTGCTCACCCCTCATGAGCACTCACACTGCTCTCTCAGCATTGTGTCCCGTCCAACAGGTCACTTGGGTCACCGACCTTCCCAACCTCTCCCAGCCTCCCCTGGCTGTTCCACGTGTGCCATCACGCACCCGAGTCTGCTTGTGGCCGTGTGCCTCCTGCACACACAACTCCACTAAACTCTGGTCCAGACTCCTAATGAGGCTGCCCTCAGCCACTTGATCAGCCCAGACTGGTCATTGGTGACACCTGGCCCCAGGACTGGAGATTTCCTCCCACCCAGAGCTCTAAGAAATCTCCAGATCCCAGCTACAATTCTGAACATTTGGAAGAATCTGAAAAGCCTAGTTCTTCCTTATCAAATGGTTTACACTCTGGACCCTCTCAGCTCCTCTGGCTGAGAGTCCTAGGTGCCATAGTTGCCAAACTACACCGTGGTATTGCCTTGCACTGCCACAACACACTCACAACGGTTGCACTCGATGGACCTGTGTCTTTATTCTATTTATTACTATGTAACTAGACATGTACACCTGCAAAAATATTTGTTTTGGTTAGTTTCTGATGTTTCGTTATTTTGTTTTTCAGGATTCGGGTCTGAAAGTCAAATAGTTTCGGCATTAATGTTTTGATAATTTCTAATGAGTTAAACAATAATTACAAACATTCCTTGCAGAAAAGTGACAATAAATGTTTACTTTGTTTCTTTTTAACTTTTGACAGTCCACAGAAACAATTTTTAAAAAACCATGCGGTTCCCCCCTGCAAATCCTACCAGACCAATGAGGTCTGGTAGGAATTTTAGGGGGCGAGCGCCAGGTTTCTTTATTTTTTCTGGCTGGTCGGCCGGCATCGGGATTCCAAGATTAGGA